TCACTTAACTGTTAAAGTCTTTTCTGCTAAGGTCACTTCTTGGTGAGCATTTATATGGGACACAAATATCCTTACATCCTTTGCACATATGAAGAGGTCTATCCATGGAAAGGTACCTCTTTCCCACATATCTTTGTCACAAATTTTCCAATCATGTTCTTTCCAAGTCCATTGCTAGACCATTGTCTACAGACCATAAATCAGTATATAGTCACACATCTGGTCATTTCTTCTTCCAGGTAGAATGTATGACAAGTACAGTGCCCAAAGTTCTGGCCACTGTGAAGATTTTCCTTCACCACTGTCCTTCAGGGATGTCCTGGAAAGGAGCTGTAGTGCTGCAGCTGTCCACTTTTGGGTGGTACCTGCATAATGTTCAGAACCATCTGTAAACCAGGCCCTAATCTTCTTGTTCTTTGTCAGCTGATCGTATGGTACACCCTTTGAGGCTCTAGGTGCATGCTGGGAGACAGAAGGCAGTATAGCAGGAGAAGGAACAACAGCCATTTGGGCAACTTCTTCATGTAGCTTACTTGTGTCTTCCAGACTTGCTCAAGGCTCAGTGACATATATATCACTTTCATTTAATGATGGATTGTTGCTGTGTATATCCAACTTCTGACTTGGTGGGCCAAATAGTACCCAGTGGGAAAGTTTGGGTTGCAAGGTAACCTACTGTCCCATTCAGTTTCCACTAAGCCCCAGTACCAGGCCAGGAGCTGCTTTTCAAATGAAGAACAGTTGTCTTCAGGTGATGTCAGGGCCTCAATCCAAAATCCTAAAAGCTTCCACTGTGATTCACCTATGGGGGCCTGCCAGAGCGCCAAACCACATCCTCATCTGCCACTGACACCTCAAGTACCATTGGGTCTGCTGAATCATGTGGCTCCACTTCTGGACTTGTTAGTAAAGCATTTGTGAGCTGGAGGATGGGAAATAGATCCAACTAAAATTCAAGGTCCCTCTACCTCAGTGAGATTTCTAGGAGTCCAGTGGTGTGGGGCATCCAGAGACAGCACCTCTAAAAGGATAAGTTGTTGCATCTGGCTCCCTACAGTCAAAAAAGAGGCACAACCCCTAGTAGGCCTATTTGGATTTTGGAGGCTCACATAGGAGCCAAATGATCAAGCTACCTCCTGCTTACTTGGTCCAATCAGCACAATAACATCGATGTAATGGACTAGCATGATACCTTGTGGGAGAGAAAGACAATCAAGATCCCTGTGAACTAAGTTGTGACACAGGGCTGGAGAGTTACTATATCTCTGAGATAGGACAGTGAATGTGTATTGATGGCCTTGTCAGCTGAAAGCAAATTATTTCTGGTGGATCTTAAGGGTATGTATGGAAGAGAAGGCATTTCCCAAATCAATAGCTGCATACCATATACCAGAAGATGTACTGATCTGCTTAAGCAAGGAACTCACATCTGGTACAGCAGCTACAGTTGGAGTCACCAGTTAAGTTTATAGTAATCCACTATTCCAAGACCCACCCGTCTTCTGCATAGGCCAAATAGAAGAATTAAATGGGGATATAGTGGGAACCACCACTCATGCATCTTTCAAGTCCTTGATAGTGGCACTAATCTCTACAATTCCTCCAGGGGATGCAATATTGTTGCTTTGTTTACTATTTTCTCAGGTAAAGATAACTTTAATGGCTTCCACTTAGCCTTTCCAACCATAATAGCTCTCACACTACTGGCAATGGAATCAATGTGAGGATTCTGCCAAGTACTAAGTAGATCCCAAGTGCACATTCTGGAACAGGGGAAATAACAGCAGAATGAATTCAGGGTCCTACTGGACCCACTGTGAGTCAGTCCTTTGCAAAAATTCCATCAATCACTTGACCTCCATAGGCCCCTACTCTTATGGGGGGCACAATGACATTTTGGAACCCCTGGAACCAGCATTAGTTAGGAACCAGTGTCTCGGGGTCCCCAAAATGTCTGATCATTTCCCTTTCCCCAGTGCACAGTTACTCTGGTAAACGACCTTAGGTCCCTTTGAAGAAGGGTGGGAAAAAGACTGACAGTATAAATCTTTGGTAGTGCACTAGTGTCCTATCTCAAGGGGACCTGGCCACCCCTTTGCCCAAGGGGTTCTGGGTCTGTAGACTGACTCAAATCAGGGAATTGATTGAGGAGCCTTGATTTTCTGTTACTATAATTTGATTTGCTTTGTTTTGTTGGTACCGGGAATAGAACTCAGGACCTTGCACTTGCCAGAGAGGTGCTTATGCCACAGAGCTAAATCCCCAGCCCCTTGTTACTATAATTTGAGGTAGGTTTCTGTTCATTTGCCCTTATATTTTTCCAATTATATAAACCTAGTAAAAATTTAGTAGGCTTCCTATCTATTTCACTTTTGGGAACACCACGGCTAATCAGTCAATGCCACAGGTCTGCACATATCAGACCCTTCCAGGCATTGCTCTGCTCCTGCTGCCCACTACAGCAAGTACAAGCACCATGTCTTTTGTGGTTGAGTGCTGCCACTTGACCCCTGCCACTCTGGGATCCATCTGAACCCACTGCCCTTAACTTTCCCAATTGAGTAACCATTGCCCCCACTATAAGGTCTGGCATACAGACAAGGGCAGTAACAGGGCTCTTCAGGGATGTTGGTTCTCCCTCTCAGAAATCTGTTTCTTAAGGTATTAGTAAAAGGCGCATTTTCTAGATCATCTTAGTGTGGAGGATTAGATTTAACATAACAAATCCAACCCAGCATTCTCATTTCCCTGAGCCTTTGCATCTCTTCATCAACAGTAAACCAAGGAATACCAAGCATCTCTAACTCATTCACAGTGGGCCATCCTTTGATCCATACTTCTACCAATTGGCCAAATAAACTATTAACACTTTTTGTTTAACTCCACAGAGCCGCAACATTAAATTCAGAACCTCTACTTAATGGGCCTATATCAACAAACTCAGCCTGATTCAGGCATGTTTTTGCCACCATTATCCCATGTTCTTAAAATCCATCCTCAGGCTGGAGATATAGCTCAGTGGCACAAGCCACTGAGCAAGTGCAAGGTCCTGAGTTCAATTCCCAGTACTAAAAAAAAAAAAATCCATCCTCATACATGTTAATCAAACTTCTGCTTATAAGTGTTAGAAAACTCAAGAAGTTCTTTAAGAGTATAGCAGACCTTTCCATGGGTAACACTGTGGACCTCACCTTTAGGAGCCTTCTTGGATTTGAGCCTGGTTATAGGTCTACAGGGAAAAGTGTGTGATAAGGGTAGGTCCTGCAGAGTGTCAGCATTATCATGCTTGCTAACTGCACCAGACATCACAGGATATTTCCTCAGGTATAGGAGGAAAAGCCAACACCGCAGGGGTTGGGGGTGGGGAGGTGGGTGGGGAAATCTCCTGATGAAATAATCTCATTAGGATTTAGGAGCTCAGTGTCCCTAGCCTAGTCAGTGTCATCCCAAACATCTCCATCCCACGGTAGAAGACCCCATTCTTTTCTAGTCAGCACCTTCACTTTTACTGCAGATACCTTTGAAGGCTGAGCATTACATTTGTGCTGCATTTCGGCCAATTAAATTATTAGGGCTTGCGTTTATTCCTGTAATCTGTCCTGAAGCTAAAGGAAACAAGATTCTCTTTTAGGATACATTTAGATTCTTTACGTGTGTCTGGAACTGGGAATTCAATCCGTGAGCTCCTTATTTTCCTTTATTAATTTGTCTTCACAAATAGAAGACTTTAAAATTTTTTATGCATTTGGAGCTCATGATTTTCCTTTACTAGTTTGTCCAAAGATGCTAAGAGCAACCAGCCAGAATCATGTTTCCCACTCTGCCAAAGACATTCAAAAGTATTATACACAGACTCACTAAATTCTTTTATCTTACCTCCTCAGTAAACTAGGATTAGAGGTCCCATTCAACCCAGCTATTTCTGTTTTGAGTATTTTTCCAGAAGAACTAAAAACATCATATGTATTTGAGTATTTTTTGAGTCCTCATTTGAGTATTTTTCCAGAAGAACTAGAAACCATCAACAGCGACATATGTGCACCCATGTTTATAGCAGCACAATTTGTAATAGCTAAATCATGAAAGCAACCCAAATGTCCATCCACTGAGGAATGGATAAAAAAGATGTGGTATTTTTATATAATGGAATATTACTCAGCTATAAAGATAAATTAGAGGCTTTTATAGGTAAATGGGTGCAACTAAAGACCATACTCATAAGTGAAATAAATCAGACCCACATGTGTAAATACCATATTGTCTCACTAGTGTAAGAACCTGAAAGAGTAAATATAATCTAAAAGGTACAATAGATATTATGAAAGGGAAAGAAACTGCTCAAAAGGATAGAACAATTGGGATGAGGGAAAGGAGAAAAGAAAGAAAGGAAAAAATATGTATATATGTATACACAAGATAGCTAAGATAATTGTACTGCTAATTTGATAATTTCTGTTGCTTTAGGGAAAGAAATAGTTAATGCTGAATTGTTTGATCAATCTTACATGACTATATTTGTTTAACTGAGCAACCAATTTGAAGATAACAATATGTAATACAGCAACTATTGTTAATTTCTTATAACCTTGTCTAAAATTCTGTATTGCTTTTACTATTTTGGTATTGTTTTGTTTGTGTCTGTTTGTTTGTTAATAGTTTTCATTCTTTTATCTTTAAAATGTAAAAAAAAATTCTTTCACCTTATAAGTAGTAAATTAGGATAATCAAATGGATCTACATTATATATTACTTCAAACAGTTCACACCACAGACTACCAGTACTTCATACATTACCAGAAGGAGAGACCATCACAGTTTTAGGTCTTAACAAATTAGACAGCCAACTGCAGGAACCATTAAAACCATGAAAGAAATTCATCCTTACAATTCTGTTTCTCTAGAATCACTCATGGTATAAAAATCTGTATCAGTTAAGAAGAACGGAAACCATATAATATAATATATATATATATATATAAGGCTTTACAAGGTAGGCTTACAGTGGTTGCCTGCAGAGTCAAGGGTGGAAGAACGCAAAAGGATTGTCTGTGCGCTGGAGATCCAAAAGATCCAGTGAAAAGTTGAAGGCCTGGAGCTCCACGCAGAGCCTTGTGCAAGTCTGTATCAGGAAGCCAAAGGGTCTGTGCTGGAAGGCTGAAGAGTCTGTGCTGGAAGCCTGGAGATGGACGTCCAAAGGTGAGGTCAAAGACTGCAGCTCTTCCAAAGAAGCAAAGCATGACTTACTCCTTCTTTCCCTTTTTATTCCATCCAGGCTACAAGCCTATTGGTTAGTGCTATCCACCCCCAAGGTGGGTCTTCCTTCTTCAGTAAGTCAATCATACACACATGTCCGGAACTGTGCTAAATCAACCCGTCAGGTGTTTCTTATTTGACACCACATTAACTATCACAAGTGGGATCAGGCAAACATTTGCTGAGGCAGAAAACAGCTTCATATAAACAAAATACAATAAATTTTAGATTACCACAAAACATTGGACTCTGTTAAAGATACAAAAATTTCTTATTTTTCTCTCAACACAGACATGCAATATAGCCAAGAAATCACCCAGCCTCTTTTCCAAAGACATGCTACCCAATCCTCCAAATCACTACCTGGCCATGTAGGCTCCCTCTAGCTGTGAAAGGTCAGCTTTTTCAGCATGCAAACAGCCAGATATCCTCCTGAGGAACACCTTGGGTAGCTTGGACATCCAAGATAGGAACTCAAGCTTTCATCAATATCTCTCAGTCTTAGATCACCGCTTCAAAATAAGTGTTCTTGACATACAGGCCTTCAACCTGGGCTAACCTGGCTTGACTTAAGCCTGGGAAGAGCATCTCATGGAACTCGTTTCTGCGTTACGTGCAAAGCTGTTGAATAATGATTCTCCTCAAGGACTACACCGCATGGTCCTTGGGAAACACTGTGCTAGTTAGCCAATAATTCCTGCGGTATAAATATTCCCACCTCAGCCCGTTTTAAACCATCAACAGATTAACAGGAGGGTCACAACATTTCTAAAATGTAAAAATCAGCTCTTGCTGGGTGAGCTGGCTCCAGTACACCACTGTCTATGCAGGTTCTTGCTGGCATACAGCTCATACAGGCTTCTTGCTCAGTGTCAAAAACTACAAACCTCCCTCCCTTTTACATGACTGCTTTCATCTTACACACAGACACACACTAAAAGGTAACCAGAATGTGCAAAGAAGTTTATTATCTATGATGAAGTAAAAATACCAAGAGTAACAATGGCTGTACACATGACCGAACAGTACAAACCCTCCTACCTGTCCACAAAAAAAAAAAAGGCAATGAAACGCAGTGGTTAACAGTCCAACACTCGTGCCAAAGGAATGGGGCTGCCTTTTTCTGGAAACACAGTTTGAATTGTGCAGTTAAGTAACAGTCTTGGCTCCATTAGAATGATAACCGACATATTCAGGGTGGGGATTTGGCCTCCGGAATTCTTTTATAAAATAAGTACATACAACCTTCCCTCTTGAAGCACCAACGTCCATCTCAGAAAACTGCATTCCCCAAGTGGCCTGAAGTAACAGGTCACAGGGAAACACAAATCTCTTTAGAAGTTTACAGTTTGTAACAGAATTAGGAGTCGAACGCCTAAAACTACAAGGTAACACGGCCACAAGGGAAGACTTGGGCATCAAAGAAAAATTCAGAAGGGCTGTTAACGCCTTCTGAGCTCCTCCATATGGTGCGACAAGAGCGCTGGAGCAGCAAAAAGAAAAAAGAGAGAGGAGCACCTTCGAAAATATTAGAATGTTGGGTTAAACAAACAAAAAACTATGTTACCTTCCTTCCATCCTGAAGAAGGCAGGGGTCCACACAGCACTTTGTGTTCTTTGGAGAAAAAAAGCTGTAACCTAACCCTCAACAAAAGGGGTGGAAACCAAAATTGAGGGATAGGATACAGACCCAAGGGGCAGACTAAAGCACCAACTGACTTCCTTACCAGGAAGGACCTATTGTTCTGTCATTTAAAAAAGAAGGAATTGGTTCAACCTGTCTGCACATTCACAGAGCACCATTTATCTAAAGTGACAAACAGCCAAGCTGGATTAATCCTCACAACGTGCATGCAAGGAAATTACAAGACTTGGCCAAAACTTCTTCCTCATTTAATGGGATGTGGCTTTACATGGGTTCTGAATATCAGCCCCCACCCCTTCTCTCTCAGAAATGAGATCCACAGGCCCAGCATGGAGGTGCACGCCTGTAATCTCAGCACTCAGGAGGCTGAGGCAGGAGGATCATCATGAGTTTGAGGCCAGCCTGGGCTACAAAGTGACTTCAAGGCCAACCTGCACTACATAGCAAGACCCTGTCTCAAAAAACAAAACAAAAAATGAAAACAAAGAAATGTGATCCACAAAAAAAAGTCTTCCTCACAACCACATTTTTGTCTTCAAGTCTCCAAGAACGCAAATTATTTATTTTCATTGTTCAAGCTGGTTGTTTTTCCCTATTCAATTGTCAGAAATGGTTTCATTAGATCAGCTAACCACACAATTAACAACTGGCCCAAAGAATCATTAAATTTAATCACTAGAAATGTAAACTGCCAGTCCTACCTCCTGGCCTTTTTTATGGCCTTACATGACCATAATGTGTAACAACTACCCAGGTTCTCTAATCTTTGGACAAAAGGTCAGGCCAAATCTATGAGACAAAATGAATGAGCTTGGCAGAAAATACAAAAGTGATTTTGTAACATATATGGTATAAAATGCTACAATATAAAATCTTTGAGCCCCTTAGGGAAAAATCATGGAAAAGGGCTAGCCTACTGAAACAAGAAAAATGGGGGAAGCAATCATTTTTGCCTCTCATAATGGAGAAAAGAACCCTGTTACTCTATTAAGGGGACTTCTTTACATATACACTATCAATTCTTCCTGACATATCAGATGTATGTCTCAATGGCTTATAGAGAATTCTGTTTAAATTAAAATTTGAAATAGGATGATGGAGGAATGTGTTATAAGGTACTGAGAGAAGGCAGACACACAGGCTATACACAACCTCAGTTCTTCATGTCCAATGTTATGCAAAAGCAGCTTGCAAATACCATAGTTCATTCATAAATGGTGCCTCTTAGAAATCAAAAAAAGTTTTAAAGAACAATATAAAAGATTTGATTACAAAGAACTACCAAATTATTCAATAAATCCTCAATAAAAACCTTTTGAACAGTTTTTCTTCCTTCTGAAAAATAAAGAAGGATAATCCCAGCACTCAGGAGGCCAAGGCAGGGGGAGAGCAGCATGTTCAAGGCCGGCCTGGGCTACACAGCAACACCCTGTCTCGAACAAACAAACAAATCAAGAAGGAAACCACAAATTAGTCAGCTATAGGAAAATTAAATAACTAAAACTCTTTGACCCAAATTGTACCTAGCACAAGAAAGGAAAAGAATTTCTATCTCACCATTCCTTTCCTTAATTGTAAAATAATGATACTTTATTTACTACTTTAAAAACCCAATCAAAGCCAGGTGTAGTGGCACACACCTGTAATCGCAATAATCAGGAGGCTGAGGCAGGAAGATTGCCATGAGTTCAAGGCCATCCTGAGCTACATAGCAAAGACTTATCTCAAAACACAAAAACAAAAACCAGTCAAAGCAAACCAATGATGCCTGATCCTATCAACTCTAAGGAGATTAGGGTTATGAACTCCAAGTAACCCAAACACAACTAATAATGAGATCATTAAACCAAGTATTTATGTATACTGTAGATTAACTCACAGCTAAAAATGTCCATGGAGCAAAAAAAAAAAAAAAAGACATCTACCCCAAACAGGCATTTTGTCTGGTAGCACATCATCAAGAGGTGTCAGGCTCCATTTTGTTCCAAATATTATTTTGGCACCAGCAGTGTGGCAAACATTCAGGGTTCTCCTTCAAATAACTGAATGAATACATGTAGTACATTCAAGAGTGAAGGTTAACCGAAGAGTAGCTTTCTGTTCAGAAGAAGAATGTCTTCACTCAGTTAGAGTATAACTTATTAAAAAGGGAAGTCATGAGTCTCTCTGGAGAGTTTCTAAATAGTTTATAAATATGAACAGAACATTTCTTCAATAAATAAATGGTTCCCAAAGTCTTTCCAGAGGACCTCCAAAATCTGCCATCCCCATTGTCCAGGCCAGCTCCATTCCCCCAAGAGGCTTTAGCTGCCAGTAGAATGAGATATTTTCTGGTATCAGGCAACTCTTCTTATACCATCCAGACTTTCATCAGTATGTATCTTCATAGTCTGAATCCTGGAGGGGAAAGAAGAGTAGGACAGTGTACATGTGAAGTACAATGTCACACCCTGAATTTAGGCAAAGACATACATTTGCATACTCTGGGTGACAACAGTGAAAGGCCACTGACTCAACAGACCTAAATTCCCACAAAGCATCACAGGACCTCAGTACCACATGTCTACTGGGCTAATTTCTGTTTTGCAGCCCTAACTATTCCCTTTTCCTTGGTGAATAATTTTTTAAAACCTCAACACAAGAAAAAGCACCTGCCTACAGCAGAATGTTTAGGACAGTTCAGGAGTTTAGGATAGAAGCCCGTCTTAGTCTTTTCCTCATCGCTAGGAAAAAATACCTGACACCCACAACTCAAAGGAGGAGGGGTTTATTTTGGCTCACACGTCAGGCCAGGGTCAGCAGCTCCCAAGAAGGAACAGTATAGCAGAGGGGCATGGCGGGAAGAAAGCTACTCACATCATGGGAGCCAGGAAGCAGGGATCAAAGGGAAGAAATAGGGAAGGAGCTGACCCTTACCAGGCCACACCCCAAGTGACCCACCTCTTCAGTCCAGGCCCCACCTCCTAACATCACAGTTAGCTACAGTACCCTCATGATTCAGCATCTTTCCAAAGCCCTGCCTATAAGCACATGAGGCTTTGGGGGTCCATCCAGATAAAAACCAAAATACAGCCAGTCTACCCACCATGCTGCCTTTTTTCACAGTCCCCATGAACCCTCATGTCAGCATGAACCCTCCCCAGAGCCCTTGCACCTATAATTTCCTCCTCTTGAAATTCTCCCCACAACAGCTACATGGCTTGCCATCTACTTCTTGTAGGAGTTTGTTCAAATACCATCTTACTGAGGGTGTCCCTAACCATCCTATTTAACATCACACCCCTAGCTATGTTGCGGACCAGGCTATGTGATAGATTGATAGATTGTGATAGACTGATAACTGGTAAACTACAGGCCCTACCGTCATGAGGTGAGGCACACGTTGACTTGCTTCAGGAATAGGGAAGTTTTTGCAGAAACCTGCAGCCTTCCTGGCTGGGTGGGACATAATCCCTGTAAATCTAGCCTCCTGAGGCAAGATAACAACTGCTGAGGACAAAACAAAGAAAACAAGTACCCAGGTATGGAGAAGGATCTTAGCTCTGTGTGTGTGTGTGTGTGTGTGTGTGTGTGTGTGTGATATGCCAAACCTGTTCCTCATTCTACTACCTATTTTCATTGCAGTCACTGTTGTAGGAAAAGTACACTACCCCTCCCCCCGCGCTTCTCACTGGCTAATAAAATGGGCTGGCTGAAGAAGTCTTCGTCTTTGCCCAGTCTGAGGCACTGACCTCCCGATCCCCCTGAACCTCCAAATATCTCTTTGTCTTTCTTTATTCCTCACCATACCCCACTAAATAGGCAACCGAGGATCCGACCAGACTTTCATACAGCCAGGCATCCTAGCTCTCTTTCCTGATTTATTTTTTTCCATAGCATTAAATACTACCTATGCTGTGTATTTTATTTCTGTTTAAAAATTTAGTCAGCAAAATAAATAAATAAATTAAAATGTAGTCAGTGTTTGTACTCCAGTCTGAAAAACAGTCATATTTCCACTGGGTCTTAGAAGATGAGAGAGGGTTTCTGGGGTGAAGAATACTGAGTTCTGTGAGGGTAGGGATGGCTGTCAGTTTTGTTCACAGCTGTTCTCTGAGGGGCTAAAATGGCCCACACAGTGCATGTCAGGTGCTTAGTAAATAACGACCAAGTGAATTAATATGGGAAGCACGGTTAATAACCACATGAACATCAACGATTTTGTGTTACCAAAATATTCATAACGCAAAGAGTTGAGATGAGGTCCTCCCTCTCCCCTGGCACTAGCAGCCTTTTTCTCCTCTCACTCACGATACCCAAGTGCAGGAGAGAAAGAGAAACCAAGGGCGCTGCAATGAGCAGTCGCGCACGCTTGTCCGGCCAGGCGCTGAGCCTGGCAGTGAGTACAAAGAGGGCCCAAGCTGAAGCCCTGCAGTGACAGGTATGATTCACACTAGATCACACGTTGCTTCTGACTTGTTTCTAGCTGCACCACATCAGACAGTCTTGCCTGCCCCTGAGATCCCACGCTAGCCATGCAAGCCTATTAGTCATAACAAGCACTCAAAGGGGAGGGATGACAGTCTTTTGACATTTAAATAGAAATTCAGGGCTTCCAACGTGGTGTTTCCTAATGATAAATGACATCAAGTTACCTAAAAGGTTATAACTTTAACCCCCTGGAAGATAACAAGGCTCAGCAGAAAAAGTTAAATCCAGGGTTCTGGGTCCCCTGTTTCCAAGTTTCCTAGTTTGAATTCAGTGACACAAGATACCGCTCCTTCAAGACCCTCTGCCGGTCAGCAGGGACTGCTTTCCAGGCCCGCTTCCCAAGCCTGAGAACACCACTTTGTGTCCATGAGACAGAGAACAAAACTGTGCTTGAAACCGCCGGGGTCCCAGAGACCAAAAGGCTGTAGAAAAAGAGCCCAGTTCATCCCTTCCTTAGTGCTTCCTGCACAGTTCTGCTGCCTTGGAGGGCAGAAGATCCCCTTAAATAGGCAGGAAGGTAAGAAAGCAACAATAAACGGAAAACTGACAGGGACTTACCAGACACTCAGCACAGCGGACACAGAGCCTTGCCATGCACTGGTCTTTGTCCTCCTGGTCAGTGCTGTGGAAAGGATACAAACTCAATCTCAGACATCACTATCCTTAGTACAGAGCAACGGGGGCAAACCTACAGCACATGTGCGGCACGCAGCAGGCTATCTGTTATCGCTGAAAGCTCTAAAAGGTTCGCCATTACTGGTAGAGAGGAACAGTTCTCAACTCAGGTCTTGGAATCATACTAGTCTGGTTATAGATCCCAGTTCTGCCACTTATTACCTGGGTTACTGGACAAATTCAACTATAGGAGCCTGTTTCCTCATCTATAAAATATAGACATCGATGTGCCCTTAAAGCACATGCTAGGAGTATAAAAGGGGCTGGGGATTTAGCTCAGCGGCACAGCGCCTGCCTGGCAAGTGCAAGGTTGTGAGTTCGATTCCCAGTACCGGAAAAAAAAAAAAAGGAGTATAAAATAAATATATGTGAAACATACACCACAGGGCCCAGTGTGTAGTAAGTGCTCAATAAATAGCTGATGGCCACGACTATTCATTCACTCAGAAAAAAACTGAACACCCACACCATCTGAGGAATCATGGGAGGCTGGGGACAAAGAAAGAAAAACTGGTCCTGGGGAGAGCTCACAGTCTCATGGGGTGAGAAGCCTGTCATAAACTTAACACAATGGGATCCATGTTTCAATAGAGTCAAGATGCAACTGCTGTGCAGAGAAGGGAAGAAGTGACTAATTCTCCCTTTAGGACTCAGGAGGTCAGGAGAAGGGAATACTCAGCTGGGCTGCAGGATAAGAGCTTCCAGACAATCAGGAGAAGGAAGTGGGGCAAGACAACGCATGTGGAAAAATTATCTATCTTTCTACCTACCTGAAATACTTAAGTGAGTGTAATATGGCCTGTGGGGAAAAATAAGCACCCTGTCACTGGAAATGAGGGCAAATGGGAAGAGAAGACAGAAAACAATGTAACTTAGGGTCAGGACAGAAAGGGTTTTGTATACCATGCTTAGAAACAGACACTGGTATTTTTGCCAGTAGTTCTTCACCTTTTTAGGTTCACAAATTTCTCATAAAAGGCATTCTCGGGGCTGGGGATATAGCTCAGTGGCACAGTGCTTGCATGGTAAGCACACAGTCATGAGTTCGATTCCCGGTACCAGAAAAAAAAAAAGAAAAAAAAAAAAAAAAAAAGGCACTCTCTCCATTAGAGGCACACACATAGACAAAATGAAAACTTTTGGACCCTTTGAAGGTAAGAGTCTCCCTTACAGGTTAAGAACCCCTGATACAAACAATAAAGAACTTACAGGATTTTTAACATAGATTTCTGTTTTTCTTTTCCCTTTTTAAGCAGATTTCATTTCAGGGAAAAAATGGATTGTGTTTAATAAATGCTTTTTTTGCTTGTTTTTGTTTTTTGAGACAAGGTCTCACTATGTAGTTAAGGCTGCTCTTGAACTCACTATGTAGCCCAGGACAGCTTCGAAATTGCTGGGATACTCCTGCCTCTGCCTCTCAAGTGCTGGGATTACAGGTGTACCACGATCAGCTAATAAATCCTTTTGATAACCACAATCCACTTAACCCCTTCAGAGCATCTGCTGACCAAGAAGGGCAAAAAAAAGGAGAAGGGAGGCCAGGCATGATGGGACACACCTGTGATCATAGCTACTCAGGAGCCTGAGGCAGAAAGATTGCAAGCTTGAACCTAGCACAGAAAACGTAGCAAGATCCTGTCTCAAAATAAAAAGTAAAGAGCTGAAGATGTGGCTCAGCAGTAGAGCACCTGCTCAGCATGTGGATGCAATCCCCAGTACTGCCAGAAAAAAGGAGAACAGGAAGGGGAAACTCTAAACCTTCCTCCTCGTATTCCTCAGCAGAACCATTCTCCATTCAAAAGGAAGTTTCACCAACAGAACTAAACTCAGTGTGAAGAAAAAACAGTGTGTGGATACACATGGGGGTGCCAGCCCCAAAGCTGAAGAGGAAATGGGCCAACTGCTCGAGCCGCCATGAGACATACTCATCTGAAACTTCGATAGACGATTTCTTATAGCCAGACTTGCTCCTCTTCTTCAGCCCTGCAGCCTTCCGCCCCATTCTCAGCAGCAGCAGAACCACCACCACCGCAGAGGGGATGAAGACCAGCAGGGACAGCAGGGCCACCGAGGACAGCATGGTACCGAAACCTGCAGGGAGGAAAGAGAAGCCGTTACAAGAAGCGGTGCCCCTCTGACAGGAGACAGGTTCTACTTTCGCTCAAGTACTTCTGATTACGAAAGGGATAAATTCATTATGGACAAAACATACAAACATAAAATGAAGAATAAAAATGTCCCCATAGCACTACTACCTAGGAAAAACACACCGGCATCTACCACTTCCATCTTTCGGCAAGGTGTGTGGCACACCTACGCAGGTCCATAGGAGAGCGGAGTGTATGTTCTTAGAAGTATAAATCATATTTTACATAGTATTTTAAAATATTTTACTTACCATATGGTAAATATGTTTAGACTTTGTTTCGGTTTGGTTGTTTTGTTTTGTCTTTGTGGTACTAGGAATTAAACCTAGGACCTTCACCCTGAGCTACATACTCAGCCCTTTTCTTATTTTTTGAGGCAGGGTCTAAATTGCCATGGTAAGGCTCAAACCTTTTCTTTTTGAGACAAAGTCTTGCTATGTAGTTCAGGTTGGCCTTGAACATACTATGACCTTGAACTCACAGTGATCCTCCTGCCTCAGTCCCTGAGGTCTGGGACTACAGATGTGTGCCACCACACCCGGTTGTAAGATTCAAACATTTGCTGGGCCTGTTGGCACATGCCTGTAATCCTGGCACTCAGGAGGCTGAGGCAGGAGGACTGCTGTGATTTCAAGGCCAGCCTGGGCTACACAGTAAGACCTTATCTCAAAAAAAAAAAAAGAAAAGAAAAGAAAAGAAAAAAGAAAAAAATCAAACTTTTGATACCCTTGCCTTAGCCTCCCAAAGCACTGGGATTACAGGCATGTGACACAATGTCCAGTGATAAATGTGTTTTTGTGTAATTAAAAATTTCTTCTGGATGTGATGTTCAATGTGTATGGTATTATACCACATTGAATAATTTATTGAATCAATTCTCTAAGGCTGGACATCCACATTATTCCAAATTCTTTGAATCTTCAGGTCACATGAGGATGACCAAGCTTACACATAAATCTTCATATTTAGCTCCACTTCCTTAAGATGAAAGTGTAGGATGACAGAACCAAAGGACACACTTCTAAGGAATCTGATCTCTATTATCAAACTGCCTTTCAGAAAACATCACCAGATTCTACCCTTTCCAGCAGTGTGAATGTGCCCAGGCTTTGAAACCTATGAGTTACTGTCAAAGAAGACAAAAACAATAAAGAAAAAAGAGGAGAACAAAGGAGGGAAAGAAGGAATAAAGGAGGAAGGAGGGATGAAGAGAAAAAAAGAGGAAGAAAAGGTAAAAAGAGAGGAAAGGAAGACCTGAGAAATGATAAAAGCAACTCTAATGAATCATAATTTATCTGTAAGTCTGTGGTTCAAATCCAGGTAAGAACTAGAATGACCACTAAATAGTCACCGGGGGAAATGCAGAAAACAAGGTCAGCCCTTAACCTCCTCTGCACTTGTTTCATGCTAACAGGAAGCTGCTATTCTTTGCAGCATAAAAGAAACACACTACCTCCCATCATTAGAGGGAGCGCCCTTTCAAGACATAGGCGAAAATGCTGTCTCATTACTGGGAATCTGACTATATTAGGGAAACCAGAATGACTTCTATTTCACAGACGTAATAACTCTCCATTTACTTTGTACATTTCACAAGCCCTTTGGTCACCTGAAGTTAAAATGAAAAAGAGATAATGGGAAACTATGACAATATTTGAAGAAAAAAATTCAGTTTTCAAAATAAAGATCAAAAATTCAACTTAACAGGGCTGGGGATATAGCTCAGCGGTACAAGTGCCTGCTTGGCAAGCGCAAGGTCCTGAGTTCGATTCCCGGTGCCAAAAAAAAAAAATTCAACTTAACAGACATACCAGGATGGCAAAAAAAATAGCCACTTTGACACAATAATCCAATGGCCCAATCGGCTTACCCAAATAAATGGCTTCCCACATTAACGAGTACTCCAGAAAACACCATAGTGACACACCGAAGCAGAAGGTTGGTGGCCATGAGCTTACCTCTTTCTGTGACTGTTAGCTCCGTCAGGGGAATATTATGGTGCACATCTGGGGGATTCTTCACAGCACAGCTGAACGTCCCATTGTCCTTTAGGGTAGGGTTGCTTATGCTTATGGATGCATCCCCTTTGTATACATTTCCAGCCCAGGAAATCCGGTCCCGAAATGTGCCTGCTGTGGTTGGGTACTGGAAAGATTGATAATGAAAAATCTAAAAAGCAACACCAAGAAAAAAAGAGTTAATTTGGAAAATAAACTGAAAATGTAGAGCTAAGCAGGTGCAAAGTAAAACACAACTGGATAATGGGTGTTTCAGTTGAAAGTTTTTTAAATGCTTTTTTTCACCTCCATCAGGTAATAGGGAAAAAAGTTAATAAAGCTGATTAGAAAAAGGACTGATAAGAGAATTCTCAAGCCCTAACTATTGAATCTCTTCTAAATTCTCCATAAAGTCTAAAGTAATAGCCTTCAGTCAGGGAGCAATTTCACTCTCCATAAAACATGTGGTAATATCTTGAAATCTTTTTAAAAATATATTTATTTTTAATTGACAAATAAAAATTGTATATATTTACAGGATAAAATGTGACTTTTATAATTTTCATCACTGGGAATTGAACCCAGGCCTTCAAACATACTAAGCTGTACCTCTGTGCTACATCCTGAACTGCTTTCAAATTTCTGAGGAAACTACATACTATTTTCCAAACTGGTTGTACTAATTTACATTCCTTCCAACAGTGTATGAGGGTTCCCTTTTCCCCAACTTTGCTAAAACTTGTTATAATTTGTCTTTTTTATAACAGGCATTCCAAAAGGTGTGAAGTAGTTTCTTATTGTGGTTTTAATTTGTATTTCCTTGACAATTAGAGATGTTTAGCATTTTTCATATATCTGTTTGTTGGCCATTAATGTCTCTTCTTTTGAGAAACACCTATTCAGATCCTGTGCCTATTTTTAAATCGATTTGTTTATTCATTTGTCTGTTTCAGTGCTAGGTACTGAACCCAGGGCTTTGAAGATACTAGGCAGGAACTATACCACTAAGCTACCCACAAGCCCCTGGTTACTTGTTTTTATGCTACTAAGTTGGAGACAGTTTTGGTTGTCACAACAGGGAGAGGAGCTACTGGCATCTAGTGGGTACAGGCCGGGGACACTGCTAAACTTCCTGTAATGCATAGGAAAGCCCCCACAACAAAGAATTATCCTTCTCACAGTGTCAACAAGTTGAGATACACTGCTCTAAAACAATAGCTAATACTTGTATAGTACTTTATAGTTTGCAAATGACTTCCTCACACTTACTCAACAGAGACTCATGAGGAAGGTATATGAGGAAGGTATAACCATCCCAAATCAACAAAAAGGGAAAAAAACCAAAACCCAAAGCCTATGTGAGTTTCTCAAAGGCAAAATTAGAATGTGACAAGTGGGAAGTTTTTTGTCTTATTCTCAAAATCACTGGGAGGCTGTGATACAATCCAGCACCTTCCCAGTTACCTATCGTGGCAGTTAATATAAACCCCAAGTCAAATGTTATGATAAGGACTGAATAAATGCATGCTGAGTTTTTTAAAATACTGGGTTGCACTTGGTGACCAGACACCTCCTCACCAAAAGTTCCCATTGACACCTGGAGGTGAACCAGGCAGGTGCTACAGAACAACATAGGTTTTTTCTCTTATGCAAGATACAAAGCTTTCCTCTTCCTTTATTTGCTTAATACCTTCCCACTTAGGAAATCAGGCATTTGTAACCACTGAATTGCCCAATTTTGAAGTGTAATTTCCCGGAGAAGATGATGAATCATTTATTAGTTCATCGTTCATGCACGTATCCAATGAATATTTAGTACACACCAACTATGTTCTAGGCAATGTGCTAAGTAAAAACATAAAACACCATATAGTCCCTACTCTCATGAAATTTACACTTTGGTGGTAAATACAGATATTAAGAAATAATATGCATAATGAGTGCTCCAAGGTGGGAGGTAAAGAAGGCCTACTACTGCCGGGCGTGGTGGCACACACCTGTAATCCCAGCACTTGGGAGGCTGAGGCAGGAGGATCATTGTGAGTTCAAAACCAGCCTGGGCTACAAAGTGAGCTCAAGGCCAGCCTGAACTGCATAGCGAGACCCTGTCTCAAAAAGACAGGGTCTACCACTGATTATCAGCGTCAGAGTAAAAGGGTTTTGCAAGGTATGGTGGAACCTAGAAGTTCCACGTTAAATCAGTGACACTAAAACCCTTGCTAACTGATTAACCTGATAGAATCCTGACTAGCCACGGAACTGCCTCATTACTTTATGTGACCTTATGGGTCCACTAATTCCAACTTGGATGAGTTTGCTGATGTCCTGACCAGCCTCACAGAAAAGAGTACTGTAAGAGAACTGCTGTTTGTGTATAATGCTTCTGACCCATGAAGCTTGCCCATTGCTTACTCTGTCCTACTTTTGGCCAAGGAGGTACAGCCAAATAAGGCCAGCCATAGTTTCCTGACTACTCAGAACACAGTGAACTATTTTTAAGTCTAAAGAAAAAGCAATATGACTACAGCATACCTTCACTAATCACATACCTAGCTTCACGCTATACAGTCTCCAGTGATGGCTCCTAAAATAGAATTCCAAGCTTATGTGTTGACAGGAAGGGAAAGTTTTTCCAGTGAAGGAAAACAGAATAAACAAACTAAGAAAACTTTCAAAAATCCAATTAGACACATAGCTATGACATTCACATTCTTGAATAGCCTGCATTCTGAGCTAAGGATACTGATGAAACCATAAAGAGGTTTTCTTATAGCACTGTAATCTTCAATGAGACACCAACAATGGCATTTGAATCATAAATGTGTTTTGTATGTGTAACCAAAGCATGTTGTTTCTAATATTACAAGACTATCACTGACATCTGTCATGAACACAGACTGCCACCATTTCCTTCAAAGGCAGCTATATAAATCACTGCAGGTGTTTATATGCTAGGAGGAGAAGCCAAGATAAATCTACAGACCACATTGCTGGGTGTGGTGGCACACAGCTGTAATCCCAGCACTCGGAAGGCTGAGACAGGAGGATCATTGTGAGTTTGAGACCAGCCTGGGCTACAAAGTGAGCTCAAAGCGAGCCTGAACTGCATAGCGAGACCCTGTCTCAAAAAAAAAAAAAAAAAAAAACTACAGACCACAGATATGCAGAGAGATACATACCCATTGAGACTCCTCAACAGGAAATGAGCAGCTCTAAGAAAAAGTATGTCTGTGACTGGGACCTACAGAATTTTTCTAGCCAATAATTCTGCAGGTACCCTTTTTAAACATCAAATCTAAAGATGAAGTTATAATATCACGGGAAAAAGAAACAACAAAGAGGAAAGAAAATTAAACCACATTTTCTCTTTTTTTCTCAATTTTTTTCCTACAGGTTATGTGCAAAATTCTTTTCTCTGGTACCGGGAACCAAACTCACGACCTTGCGCTTGCCAGGCAGGTGCTTTTGTCGCTGAGCTAAATGCCCAGCCCATGCAAAATTCTTATAAGGAAGAATACAAAGTCCTACATGGGGAGTCAGGGATTTAGCTAAGTGGCGCAGCGCGTGCCTGACAAGCGTAAGGTACTGAGTTCGATTCCCAGTGCCCTCTAAAAAAAGTCCTACATGATCAAATGAATGTCACAGAAGGCAGAAGCTCTCCTCTTTCCATTTTCACAGAAGCTCATTTTCTGTTCTGAGAGGGCCTTGTGTGTGCCTGTGACTTGCAATAAAAGGATTCAAACATTGCTGAGCCAAAAGACTGGAGGAAATTTTTTTTTTGGTACGAGGAATCAAACTCAGGGTCTTGCACTTGCCAGCTAGGCGCTGTGCCCGCTGAGCTACATCCCCGACCCCCAAGGAAACTCTTTGAAAAGAACACACTTACAGACTCTGTGCGACTGCTGCTGGGAGGGCGGTACGTCCAATCAATGGTCAGTTTGTCAGTGACTTGCGAAGTTGACTTGAAGGTGCATCTCAACTTGATCTTTTCTCCAACATAACCTCGGACGTGAGCATCTGCATTTATCTCCAAGGAAAGGACGACATGAACACCTAATCAAAGCATGACCAAATATCTAAATGTATTTGTTTTCGTGGAATATACAGATATGAGTTAACAAAACAGGTATGCCATTTATCATTTTTAGGAGTCTCATCAAAAAGCCAGAGCAATCAATATCTTCCCAGGCAAAGTCACAAAGGACAAGGAGCCAGTGTCTGCATTAATCTAGGAGAGCTTATCATTTTGTAATCTTAGATAGAAATCATAGATAAAATACTTGGGTAAATTTTTTTTTTAATTTTTTTTTTTCCTTTCTGAGACAGGGTCTCGTTATGCAGTTCAGGCTGGCCTTGAGTTCACTTGTAGCTCAGGCTGGTCTCAAACTTGCAACAATCCTCCTGCCTCAGCCTCCCAAGTGCTGGGATTACAGACAGGTGCCACCACACCCGGCTTTGGGTAAAAATTTAAACCTGGTCACACCAGCATTTTTCCAAACACAGGCTTGTATCCAAATTAAATACAAACAAGTAGTGTTACCCATAGCAAACTGAAAGGTAGCAACACCCACCCACTCTTAATCTCCCTATATACCCCCCCAGACACACACGCGTGCACGCACCCCAGGAGTACAGCAGCTTTCATGGGGTTGGAGGGATGAGCCCAAGTACAACATGATGGTAGCATGAAGCCACCACTGCCTCAAGCATCAGCAAAATAAGAACAAAGAATGAAAAGAAGAAAAAAAATATTTATTTTATTCTATTGAGTTTCCCTATTTCTTAAAGCTGGTAACAAATCATATTAAAAGTAAATTGCGAGCTGGGTGTGGTGGCACATGCTGCCTATAATCACAGCACTCCGGAAGGCTGAGGTAGGAGGACCTCAAATTCAAGCCCAGTCTGAGCAACTTAGTGACTCAGGAAGTTTATATTACAAAATTTAAAAAAAAAAAAAGAACTGGGGATGTAGCTCAGTGTAAAGGCCCTGGGTTCAATCTTCAGTACCACAAAAGAAAAAAATTTAAAGTCAATTATAGGAAGGAAAACAAAATATAAAAATAAGGTAACATTTTTTAAAGCTTCCAGCGACCTCCTCTTTCTAAAGCCACTCACACCCACTAGCTCCTTGGCAGCAGGCTAGGGCAGTGACTAAGCACACAGACTCCGAAACCACTGGATCTAGGTTCAAATACCAACCCTATCTATCACTTGCTGGCTCTGCAGCCTGAGCAAGTTACTTTACACCAGCACTTTCCGGAACCTGTGGGAATGACTGTAGTACCTACCTTAGAAGTTCACTGTGAAGATTACATGAGTTAAAACATGGTCAGCACGGCGAAGCCCACCTAACCTCGAGTGAGCACCCAGTGCGTGCTGCTACCATCATCGTCCTTATTCACCTCTCCAGTCTTACAATCTCTTAACCTTTCCTACACAGACAGTTCTGAGTCACCAGCTCCTCTGCTTTACCTCTGCCTGCTTTGAATCATTTTCTCATTCCGCTCTGGACAATCTAGTCTGGTCACATTCCTCTTAAATGGAGGAGACCAAGACTGAGCGCACTAAGGACTCGAACAAGAATCAACCCATCCCGAAGACGAGGGTTACTTCTGCGTCCTCCATAGCATCCTTTCTGGCTTTCCCCATGGTAAATTTGTCATTCTTCCATGCTTTTGCAAATGCTCTTTCCTCTCCCTGAAAAGCCCTCATCCCTCTATCCCCAGTCTCTCTTAAACCCTCACTCCTGATCCATCAGTGTGAAAAAAGTCTATGCATGGCTCAAGATCCAGGTCTAAAAATTGGAATATGGAAATGAATAAATAATCTATACCAGTGATGGCAAATCTTTTAGAGCTTTCTGTGTGTGTGTGTGTGTGTGTGTGTGTGTGTGTGTGTGTGTGTGTGTGTTTGGGGGTTGCTTTTTTTTGTTTTTTTGGTGTTTTTTTTTTTTTTGAGACAGGGTCTTGATATGCAGTTCAGATGAGCTCACTTTGTAGCCCTGGCTGGTCTCGAACTCGCAGCGATCCTCCTGCCTCAGCCTCTGGAGTGCTGGGATTACAGGTGTGTGCCACCATGCCTGGCTTTAGAGCTTTCAATAACAAAAACCACACCCAGCTTTACAGCTTTCAATAACAAACTGCCCACTGCGACACAAGTGCCATACCCTCTCCACCATACTCTCTCCAACTCCTCCCTTTATCCTAAAACGAAAGTATAGTACAGAGACTTAAAGTATTTAAAATTAGCCAGATCTGGACTTAGGTTCTAGTTCAACTACGTTCTGGCCATTAGATCTTGATAAAATTACATACCCTGTTCAAGTTTCAATTTCTTCATTTGCTAAATGGGATTAATAACCAAACCTACTTCACTGGATCATTCTGAAGATCCAATACAATTTTAAAAGATAACATATGAGTTGAGAGTGGTGGCACACACCTGTACTCTCAGCACTCTGGGAGGCTGAAGCAGGAGGGTTTCAAGTTCAAGTCCACCCTGGGTAAATTTGCAACTTAGCAAGACACTATCTCAAAAAAAAAAAAAAAACTTTTTTTTAATTTATTAAGGGTGGGGACATTGCTCAGTATGAAGACCCTGGATTCAATCTTCAGTGCTAGAGGGACAAAAATAGCATATAAAATGCTTAATATAGCACCTAAAATAAAAATATTCAATAGATGTTAGCTATTATTGTTTTCTTAAAACACCACACATATTCAAAACTTTTAGTAATATCCTATTGGGTTATGATTTTAAATCGAGACGGTAACAATCTGGCCTCCAACTTCTGCCACTCTGTCACTTACCCATCCAATCCCCTTCACTGTGCCGGCAATGTCCTGACATTTCCCCAGTGTACTATGCCCCAGCACCTGTGCCTTCCTTTGAATATATCTTTGTCTGAAAGGATGTTCCCATCTGTTCTCACCCTGCCTGGGATGTTCTGTACCACACCATATCCCCAACACTCACACACCTTCAAACCAGCTCAAATATTGACCCACTTTGTGGCTTCTTTCCAAATTCCCTCATGAAGTTCACTGAATTTCTTCCATGCTCTTTTTTTTTTTTTTTTTTGTCTTTTGAGACAGGGTCTCGCTATGTAGTTCAGGCTGGCCTTGAGCTCACTTTGTAGCCCAGGCTAGTCTCGAACTCCCAACAATCCTCCCGCCTCAGCCTCCCAAGTGCTGGGATTACAGGCACGCGCCACCACACCTGGCCCTTCCATGTTCTTGTAACACTTCTACATAACGCTACCCCAGCAATATGCCATGGACTGCACCTAATTTGTAACAACTATTTCCTCCATTAAATGCAAGCACCTCCAGGGCAAAAATTCAGCGAGATTCAGAGGCACAGAAAGACTGGAAAGAAAGAGGTGGATAGGTCCCCATAAATTCTACTATGGGAACAAAATGTGCTCATTAATCAGCCAGTCTCTCCCTGTCACCATTCTTATAGTATTTTCAACACCCTTAACTCCCTTTACTTCTATCATTCCATTGTGCTCATTCAGGAAAAGCTCTGCTCTTGATGACCTCTTTTATATTGGGCTGGTAGAACCTGGAGAGGAAAAAAATCACACATCTGCAGTTACCAAGAGGGATGCTAATGTTTGAAAAAGGATGGCGTCAGGAATGACTCCCAGGTCTCTGACTTGGTGATCACTGAGAGAGAGAAAACTAGAAATGTACCAGCCTTGGCAAGAGAACATGGGTTGGATTCTGGATGAATTTAAATGTCACTGATATCGAGATGCCCAAGGGATAACATCAAAGGAAGTGTTGGTTTAGGGTAGGGGGTCAGCAAACTACGGCCCATGGACCAGATGGAAGCAAACTGATCTCACAGGACAGGGCAAACTAAGAAAAACTAACACCTGACCATAGAGTCAGCAGGGGGTGACCTACGCCCCTACGCCGCCCTAAACCAATAATTACCTCCAGTGGGTTCCTGGTGAACAGCTAAGAAGTTCTTTGAGCACCTTTATGTAAACCAAATTTTATTAGAATAGTGCCATGTTCATCTGTTTATATATTAGCTATGGCTGCTTTTGCACTTTTTCCTGAACTGAATAATTGTAACAGACATCATGTGCCCGCAAAACCTAAAATACTGACTCTCTTTTTTTTTTTTTTTTTTTTTTTTTTTTTTCTCCGGTACCGGGAACCGAACTCACGACCTTGCGCTTGCCAGGCAGGTGCTTTGCCGCTGAGCTAAATCCCCAGCCCCTAAAATACTGACTCTCTATCCCTTTATGGAAAAAGCTTGTCAATGCCTGGCTTAAAGTAAAGAAGAGATCTGAGTTAGAATTATAAATCAGAATCCCTCTAATCTCCCTCCAAGCAATTCTCCACACTGATTATTATACACAGCCTCCCTCTTCCTACCACATCTCCGGCAGTTCCGATCAAACCGCTTCCTACATCTTTCTCCTTTTCTAACCCAGTGTTACAGTCATTCAGGAATTTCCATCTTAGTCGAATGTCCTTATAGATATTTATCTTTTAACCTAAGCCAGAAAGCATTCTGACCAGGTAAACATGCTAACTACAAATATATCCATAAAAATTAACAAAAAAATTAATCTGAGGAAAAGAACTACATCTTTAACATAAATAATTTTATACATGGAAGAAATTAAATAAACATGACAAAACAAAGATTCCAATTTTTCTTTGAGACAGGGTCTCAATATGTAGTGCAGGCTGGCCTTGAATTCACTTATGTAGCCCAGATTGGGTTCAAACTCACAGCAATTCTCCTGCCTCAGCCTCCCCGTGTGCTGGGACTAAAGGCATACACCACCACGCCCAGCTGAAGATGCCAATTTTACACACCCCATTTTCCAAATATAAATTTGTCAATCTTGATTCATATAATTGCACATTTACATGGAAAATAAAAAAATATAAGACTAGGCTTCCTAGTCTATCATTTCTACACACTTAACTGTTGTAATAAGACCAGACTTATAATTTAAGGAGAATTCAACAAAGCTAATAATTTAAGGAGTCTTCTCTTTGTGGAGAAGAGGCAAACAAACACTGGTATGAAACCAGGTTCTATCACCTAACAGATTTAAAGACTACCCAAAAATAGATGAAACATTGAATACACGTTAAATGAAAGAAAAAAGCACATATTGTATGATTACATTTATATGAAATGTCTAGAATAGGCAAGTCTCTAGAAACAGAAAGTAGAATGGTGGTTGTCAAGGGCTAGGGAAGAGTGAGAATGAGTCCAGAGTTTCTTTCTGGGGTGATGAAAATGTTCTGAAATTTATTCATGTAACTGTGCATCCTAACAACTACTGAACTGAACATTTTAACCGGGGTAAATTATATAGCTTGTGAATTATATCTCAAACTTATTTTTAAAAAGCAAAATATAAACCTATTCAACAAGTACACAGATCATAAAACCAATTTTAATGTTTGAATTACTGGATTTGAAGGAACTCTTCAATGTGAAATGACATTAGGTTTAAGAAGACACTCATCATGCTTGTAGTCCCAGGACTTGGGAGGCTGAGGCAGGAGGGTTGCCCTGAGTTTGAGGCCAGTTTGGGCTACATAGTGAGTTCAAGGCCAACCTGAACTATATAGCAAGAATCTCTCTCAAAAACAAAAGAAAACACACTCATTGTTTCTAGAATTGTTTTCCTCAATGGGACAATGTTTGAACATTTCCCATGGGGAGGACAGGAGTTTACATGAAGTGACAATAGGGTAGCCTAAATACTATACTGCAAAAAGGATTTAGCTGAAAAAATTAGACACTTATGATGACACAGGCAGCTGGGAGGTATCAGGGAGTGTGCTGGTAGCACGAGTATTAGTCACCAGATAAATAAAAACTTTCCAGACCTACCTGATGAGATTTAGGGCACCTGAAATCTTTATATTTATAAAATACTAAAGGTCCCTTTTAGAAATCCCCATTACTTACAGGGAAACTTTGTGAAGTTAACAATTCACTCTAATGCCAGCTAGCTATATTAATATCTAATTTTCAAAAAAGCCACATACATACAAAATCCAGGAAATAATTGCACTCTAAAATAAAGTTATCTAGGTTGGATTGAAATGTATGCAACTTGAAAACTGCATGAAAGTCAAACGTGTCCAAAATTTAATGCAATGTTATCTTGTCAATACTGTACTTGGTTAGTTAAAGGATTAAAATTTTCTGGAGAGTCTATATGATTTTTTTATTTTTAAATGTTTCAAAAATACTAAGGCAACGTTTTCTTCAATATGCTGCTCTATTATAATGACATCACACCCTTTCTGTGACAAAAATACTTTATTTTTAGCCCCTGCTAGTCATTTACAGAAACATGAAATTACTAACTGTCATGATTTTGTTTCTCAAATTTACTGGGACAATCTACTGACTATTAGAATTGCCTTCTTCTAATAGAGGTATAAAGCACTCAAAACCTCAGCAGACAATTACTACTACCTCACACAAGATAGCATCAGGTGCCCCCAAAGCTTTGTGGTTTCTGAGTAGTGTCATCACCAAAAGACAGTGCCAAATCACACAAGGTGACCGGCTGAGCTCCCCCAGCTCAGGAAAGTCTGACAAGATACCAACTCTCCGCAGTGGGTAGGTGTTAACCAGAATAAAACATCTTCTGCCACATCCTCCTTTCCTTCCTTCCCAAACGCCTACCAGGGGCTTTCCTGAGAACCCCCACCCGGAACCGGAAAAGCGACTAGCTTCCATAACCCCCCCAGCCGGAAGTGGAGCCTCGCAGGCTGGAGCACTCACCCTGGAAAAATAGGACTCCCAGCAGGGGAAAGAGAGCGCAGCCACGGCCTCCAACCGCTCTGCTCTGCTGCATCCTGACAGCGCTTCAGTTACCTGCACACCTTGTTTACAGCTCCCCGTAACGACGCAGGTAACACCGGAAATGACATCAGAGGGGCGGCAGCAGGAACACTTAAAATGGTGATCCTGTGTTGCCATAGGGATGTGGCTCCTTTCCAGTACACTACTAGGTGTCATTGAACAGCGTTTCTTTGACACTCACGTTAGAGATGGTTGCTTTCTTGCTTTAAAATTAAGTAGATTACAGACCGGAAAATTTTGGCAATTTATTTTTGTAGAATTAAAATTATTTTTGCAGGACTAAAGAATCTTATTCTCTTATTTTCCAGATATGTTTATGCCCCTAGAGATTATTTTATTTGAACTCAAAATAGAGTTTCGTAAATTTAGAACCTAAAAGCCCTAGAAGAGTATACTGGGTCCATCAGTCAATAGATAAATACATATTAGTCCCTCGTGGCCAATATGTTCTCAAGGCTGTTTGGTTCCTGTCCTTAATGTAGCTATTACAGCATCCAGAATTGGGTATTTATTAAATTACTTGGTTTTTTTGTTTGTTTGTTTGTTTTTCTTCCAGTTCCAGGAATCAAACTCACGACCTTGTGCTTGCCAGGCAGGCACTTTGCCGCTGAGCTAAATCCCCAGCCCCTTTATTAAATTACTAGTGACAGCAGCAATGCTCAAATCATTACAGAATATATTAGAAGTGAAAGACAACTGGAGTCTGTATATGTTTTGGTTGGAAAAGTAAGTGATGTTATCAAAGTACTTGGATTAACGAGAGTGTCACACGCTTCTGAAAAAGATGGTACAGGATAGTGCTTTGGTCCTTAGCCTATTCTGGAATTGCCATATGGTTAACAAAAGCAGAAGGGGAATAATGATATGCTTTGGCTTTGGGGAAATTTTAATAACTTCCCATTTTTCAACTGCCATCCCCTTATTACACTTGAAAGCTCAACTGAGAGTAATGCAAGAGTACCAAATAGAACAGGCGATACATTCTTTCAAGAGCCCCATATAAGCAGTATTGTTATGCCCAATTTCCAGCTATCCAAAGCAATGTGAAAATTCTATAGAAATCCATGGGTTTTTTTATCCAATAAAAACCAAAAAAAAATATTTTTTTGGTACTTGGAATTGAACCCAGGGCCTTTACAGTGATCTATATCCGCAGCCTTTTTTCAATTTTAATTTTGAGACAGTGTCTCATTAAGTCAGCAAGTCACCCAGGCTGGGCTTGAACTTGCAGTCCTGCTGCATCAGCCTGCCAGAGTATTGGGATTATAGGTATGCACCACCACACCTAGCTAATGCTATCCATTATTGACTTTCAGGTCATCTCTGCTATGAAAACTTTCCAGTGAAGATAAAATATATACAAAGGGTGATCCAAAAATATAGTTGAATATTTAAGGAAAATCTGTTACAATAAAAAATGCATTACCCTTAATCTCCCTCAAAGCACTCCCCCTAACTTCAAACACACTTACCCCATCATTCTTGCCACTTTCTGAAGCATTTCTGTATGTAATCTTTCATGAGTGCCTTTATGACAAGTGATAAAAAATACAGTGAATACTGCTGCCACGTGCTATTCAGTGCAAAGGCAGTCTCACAGAAACATTAGTGTGACCTCATCATCTTATTCACTGGATCTGACATCATACATTTGTCTCTTCCGCAGAGTCAAAATGACCATAAAAGGGTAATTTTTGAATTAATTCATGACATTGAGGCAGCCAGGATAATGCAACTAAAGACACTCGAAAAAGAGGACTTCCAGAACTGCTTCACAAAGTGGCAAGAACAATGGGATAAGTATGTTGGGAGCAAGGGGGTATATTTTGAAAGGGCTTAATGGCAAGGTACTTTTTACTGTAATAATTTGTTAATTTAAACATTCACTGTATTTTTAAATCATACTTCATGCAACTGTTTTCTGTTAACCTACTATATAAAATTTTCACACATGCATATAGGAAAATTATATAATTTATAATTCTTTATTACTAAAGATTTATTTACATAGTGTTTAAGGTATAATAAAAAATAAATTACAATACAAAAATGCTCTTTAGGAAAGAGACACTAAACAACAAAGCCATATTACCCCTTGAGTATTTAACCAACACACAAGCTATAAGTCTGCTGGGAAAACTATGAGTTTTTAACTATTACTTTGTTTCACTTACAGAACATCATCAAGAAACCTGTTTGAAGAAATATCCAGTTGTATTTTCAAGGGTTAAATTACAAAGAAAAATGTAAAATGTGGGTTAAAGATGATATAGATTTCAAATCTGATTTTTAGTTTCAAAACTGGGTACTGAGAGTTTACTTTTTAAAAGGCAGAATGAGATATGTATAGAATGAATTTCAGAATCAAGGTTCATATGTAAATTGTACTAATTTTAAAGAAATATACTTGATCTTAGCCAAAAGGCCAAGAAGCAATTAAAGAAATAATATTGGGAAAAAATATCAACATCCAACATCTTTAAATATAATCTATTTGAAAATTCCAATTTGTTAAAAATAAAATGCTATCAGCAGCTTAGTCAATGAAAAATGAAAGTATCAGGTTAAAGATTTTGTCTTTGACCTAAACTTAAAGATGTTTTCTATCCTTTGAACAGATGAGTAAGTCTGGAAAGATACTGGATAACTGGACACTTTTGTAAAAGTTGTTCTTTCCATAGCCCACTTACAAAGTGTATCTAACCAATATAAGGGGGAAAAGGAATAGTTTCATTCAGTTGAAGTAGTTTGGGTATTTCTTTGTTCTGTACCAAATTCTCTCTCCCTTAAGCAAGTGAATTACAATCAAAAAACAAAGAAAAGGAAAAAACTTTAAATAATCTCTTCCAGTTCTCAGAGCTTTGTATATAATACTGTACAAAAATTATCATTTAGAATTGGTCTTTTAGGGGCTGGGGATTTAGCTCAGTGGCAAAGTGCCTGCCTGGCAAGCACAAAGTCGTGAGTTCGGTTCCCGGTACCGGAGAAAAACCAAAAAAAAAAAAAAAGAATTGGTCTTTTTTCACCAGACCTAAGTTTTTAAAGTTGTTAGATACTCTTTTCAGAACACTTCTATTAAACGGCTTACTAATTCCAGTCTGCAAATGAGCATAGGTTTTGCTCAGCTGTTAAAGATGATCCAATGGACAGGCAGGGCAGAAAACTGTACAGTAACAGCTCAGGAAAGACCTACACTGTTAATTATTTTTCACAATAAAGAGAAAAAATGACAAGTGATACATCCTGAGGTGGCATTTGCCAATATGTTAGTGTCCATGTAACCTTTTGCAGTTACTGTGTGATTTGGACTTGGGCTATTTTAAATCTTGGATTAACTGACAAAACAAAAACAAAAAACCCTATCACCTGGGATACTGAAAAACTTCAATAAAATAAGGTGTGTCCCATACTTAAGGAGAGCCATAAAAAAACACACGTAACAGTTTATCCTTGGAATTTCCTGTTCGTCTAAAAATGGCTGGGAGGTTCAACTCACCCTTTAATGGAAATGTGAGAAGGAGAAAAAGTAAACATTAACTTCAGTAGCAAAAGTGATGCTCTAAAGGAATGAATGTGTGAAAGGAAATGTCATGACAGACAAATTCGCCTTTATCCCTTTTGTTGCCAATATATGTACATACAAGTCATACTCTATAGGGAGTGTACATGGGCAAAAATGTAGCTTCAAGCTTATCAAAGCTAGTGAGGATTTGAAAAATATTTGTAGTGTGAAATTAAATAAAAACCTCAGTAATGAGACTGTGTGTGAGTCTGCTGGCATCTGCTCAAGAGCACTAGGCTGCCTGCAGAGGGATGTTGTTCATCTCGGTGGGTATGTTCTGCAGAGTTTGTCAGAAGACAGGTCACAACTGGAAACACCAAAGAACAGTTTCCATGAACTTCAAGAAATACTAAAGTTCTTGTTCTTGGAAATCTTCAGCTTCCTAAAATATAAAACAAAAATTTTAAGTTGATAATATATTTGGGAAAAATACGCTAGAGTACCTACATTGTGATTTACATATATAATAGTCTGCTGTCTGTTACTGAAGGAAAATATTTTTATTCTCTCCTGAAGTTAATTTTAATAAAAGAAGGTTCCTGAACCTTATTACAGGGTTCTATGCATAGCCTGTAAGTGCCTTGCATGAATGTCTGGATGATCTACAGCTCGCTCACATTCATACTCTTTCCCTTCTCCCCGCTCCTCCCTTATAAACAAAATCAGACATGTTGAAAAGCAGACAAGAAGTGTATGGAATTCATCCATCACCTAAATTTTAAAGAATTTTTTGTATTTGTTGGGTTTTTTTGGCTGAACTTTTTAAAGCAAATTACGCATACCCCTACATACTCCAGTATGTTTTGGGGGATGGAGGAAGTACCAGGAACTGAACCAAGGGCTTTCACACTGACCTACATCCCCAGCCCTTTTAAATTTTGAGATGCTTCAGTCTCCCAGAGTGCCAGAAATTTAAGCCTGTACCACCACACCTAGCTCCAGTATGCAGTTTTAAAAGAGGAACATTTCCCTATGTAACCACAGTAACATTATTATACCTAGTAGAAACTAACAATAATTACCTAATATTATTCATGTTCAATGTTTGCACAGTCAAGGGTTCACTTTTTTTTTTAAAGACTTCTCATTTTTTTATACCTAGTTTGTTCAAACTTGTATCCATCCAGTCAGGGATCACGCATTGCACTTGACTGTGTTAGTCTCTGAAATTTCTTTTACTCTAAAATAGTCCCCATTCTTATTTTCTAGACCTTGACTTATTACAGAATCTGCTTGATTTTATTTTATGCTTTTTAAGAGTAGGAAGAATTTATTAAAAGAAAGAAAGCTTCTGGCTAAGGGGGACAGAGAGAATCTGCTTGATTTTAAAAAGACAAAAAAGCCTTTGCTGAGAACCCCTTATACTAAGTTTGGCTTTCTGTTTTTACAGTACAATGACTTTTCTTCAGGTCCTATTTTATAACTACTTGAGATCTTTCACTGGAGTGTCAGCCTGTAAAAGTGTGACTCTGCATTAATGATAGTCTATAAAAATTTCCTCTCATTTAAGAAAGCCAGAGGCAACCCACTCGGCCCCCTTCTGTCCCTCTCTCAGACAGAAGCTCTCTTTCCCTCAATAAATATATTCTGCTCTTAACCTCCATTGTTCTTAAAAATCATTCTTCGATTTTAGAGAACACAAATTCGTCCCAGATATCATCCAGGTTGGGAATTTTTTTCCCCCTATATCATTTGGTGGTACCCCACCAAAATCACTGGACAGCAATTTAAAGCTATATGCCTACCCAAGATGAAAATGCCTGGTGTCTATTGAGGGCCTTTAGACAGACCCTCTGGGAAGTATCTCTGATCACCAGTCAACAACTACAACCCCGTTCAGCCTGAAGAAGCCAGAGCAGTCATCACTCATTATTTCCTCATGGCAGTTTGGGTGCTTCTTCAGAGGGGGGAAGGTTACTGGCAGCTGAGTTAGACAGAAATATTATAGGCAGTCAGACAGGGCCAGGCCCTCCAAGGAGCCAATATGGAAGATAAGATATCTTGCAAATGGAGATGTACTTGCTGCGGGCCAGACATCAAGACAAAAGATTAAACAACACACCCACATACCTCCCTAGGGATGGACATCAGGGATTGATATTCTAAATAGGTAAAAATCACCTTGAAGAGTCACTGACCCAACACCCTACAGGAAAAGCCCCTGGTCTATATTCATGCCCACTTGCTATGTGACTCGCTTCCCCATTTGATCCCGATTTAATCAGTTTTACCTAAACAATTCTTGTTGGCTGACCATAGTTTTGTCCCACCTCATGCCCACCTTGTGATTTCCCATTTTTCCCCTTACCTTGGACCTGCCTCACCTCGTGGTTTTGCTCTATAAAAGTCCCTGGAAAAGGCAGGTTCCCTGGGCAAGCCACTCAGGCCCCCTTGTATCCCTCTCTGGGACAGAAGCTTTCTTTCCCTCAATAAATATAATCTGCTCTTCACCTCAAAAAAAAAAAAAAAAGCCAAACAGAGTTTTACAAGATAAAGTTATTAATGTCAAGAATATTACATTAGGAGTGTAAAGTTCAGTTTGTACGTCTTGATTTACAGTCTCTAAAAATGAATTGTGTGGACCTACTTCAGAGAATAGGAGAAATTCTTAGCATAGGAAAAATCATTCTGTGTTTTAAGCCTGACAAACCTGAAACTGGATAAAATTACATCCTACTAAAACTAAATTCATAGCTTAATAACTGAGAGGAGTTTAAACCAATTCCAAATAGTATAAAAGATCTAACAGCGAGGTGTGGCAGCACACTCCTATAATCGCAGCACTCAGGAGGCTAAGGCAAAAGGATCTCTGCAAATTCAAGGCCAGGATGGACTACATAGAAAAATCTTGTCTCAAAAAAGCAAACCAAAAAAAAAAGAGATCTAACAAATGTCTGGCATATCTATTGTTTCACTCTGTCAGTGCTATGACTGGTTTATAATTTTTTTAAAAATCACATTAATTTTTTCATAAAAAAAGATTCATTGGACTGGGGATGTAGTTCAGCGCTAGAGCACTTGCCTAGCACACACAAGGTCCTGGGTTAGTTCCCAAGTACTACCAATCACACATACATAAATACATATATACATACATAGATATCTCTCAGTGTTAATAGCAATCAAGTCTAGCACAAAATACACTGAAAGAAGCATCTTTGAGACCAACAGAAGACTTTTATCTCCCTGACCCCAGGTAATTCCATATAGGAAACACCTAACGACACATAAAATAATCAGGAAAACCCACTTCAGAGATGGGCCACACATGTCAGAAATTGAGGAAACGGATCAATACTGCTTACGAACCTGACCATCTAGTGATGTTAGTGTGTGTCTTCTAAAGAAACAGAAATCTTTTTTTCTTGGTTGAGCCTTTCCTCTTCACTTCTGAAACAAACAGAAAGCAAATGTCAGATGAATAAGGCAAGAAGCAAAGGAAGTAAATCCATTCTACAGAAATGTCAGGTAAAGTTTTCTCCCCCAAGTTTTAGGAAGAATTACTTTTCCCTGGAAGTAGATACAAGCTTACAGAAGTAACCTGTTACATATAGTACTTCCGCCTCCACGTGACTTGTATCTGAACATAGACATATTTTAGAATGTAAGGGACTAACTTGGGATCCAGTGCGGGAACTCCAGAAGTTTAAAGCATACACCTTACTTTATCATTAGTATTCTAGCTCTGGTTTCTACTCCTGTTCAAAAACAGAAAATCTTGTGTTGGTCTAGAAGTTATCTTTACCAATGATATTTTTATTCATACTAGACCCTCTTACTCTCTTTGAAAAATCAATTATATTCATTTCAGTAAGGATTTACTGAGGAAAAGCAATAGTGTTGGAATAACTATATATCCACATGCAAAAGAATGAATCAGAATTCCTGCATTGGGCTGGGGATTTAGCTCAGCGGCACAGCGCCTGCCTGGCAAGCACAAGGTCGTGAGTTCGATTCCCAGTACCGGGAAAAAAACAAAAACAAAACAACAACAACAACAAAAAAAAAACAGAATTCCTGCATCAACCATATATACAAATTAACTCAAAAACTATAAAACTCTTCAGAAAAAAATATAGGTATAAATCTTCATGATGTTGAATTAAGCAGTGGTTTCTTAGATATAGCACAAAGGCACTAGCAACAAAAGAAAAAAATAGATAAATTGTACTTCATCAAAATTTAGCCAGGTGTGGTCACACACGCCTGTAATCCCAGCACTCATGAGGCTGAGGCAGGAGGATTGTTGTGAGTTCCAGACCAGACTGGGCTACAAAGTGAGCTCAAGGCCAGCCTGAACTGCATAGCAAGACCCTCTCTCAAAAAGACAAAAAAATAAAAAATTTAAAATCTTTGTGCTTTAAAGGATATTATCAAGAAAGTGAAAAGACAACCCACAAAATGACAAAAAATAATTGCAAGTCATGTATAGTCCTGATAAGGACTAGTATCCAAAATATACAAAGAACTCCTAGAACTAAACATTAGAAAGACAAGTAACCAACCCAATTTTAAGGTGAGCAGACTATCTGAACAGATTTATCTCCAGATAAATATGCAACTGGCCATTAAACATTTGGAAAGATGTAAATCAAAATATAGTGAAATACCTCTTCGTGTCCACTAGATGGCCACAATCAAAAAGACAATAACAAGTGTTGGTGAGGATGTAGAAAAAGAGCCCTCATGTATTGCTGATAAAATGTAAAATGCATCTGTTTGAGGAAGCAAACTGACAGTTCCTCCAAAAATGAAACACAGCTACCATATAACTCAGCAGTTCCACTAACTTCTAGGAGAACTGAAAACATATGTCTATACAAAACTTGTCGATGAATGTTGATAGCAGCATCAGTCATGTTAGTCAAAATATATTTTTAAAAACCTAAATGCCCGTCAGTTGATGAATGTATAAACAATATATAGTAAACCCACAGTGGAATATTACACAGACATAAAAAGGAATGCAGTACTAATATATGCTACAACAGTGATAAACTTTGACATTATACTAACGAAAGAAGCTGAATATAAAAGGCCACATACTTTATTACTCCATTTATAGGAAATGTCCAGCATAACCAAACCCTCATAAACAGAACATGGATGGAAGAGGAGATAGAAGAGTGATGGCTAAAGGAAGGGTAAGGTATTTTAGGGCTGGGTGTTAAAATGTTTCTGGAATGTTAAAATGTTTCTAGAGCCAGGCATGGTGGCGCACACCTGTAATCCCAGCACTCGGGCTGGCTGAGGCAGGAGGATCATTTTGAGTTCTAGGCCAGCCTGGGCTACAAAGTGAGCTCAAGGCCAGCCTGAACTGCATAGTGAAACCCCGTCTCAAAATGACACACACACAAAAAAAATGTTTCTAGAAACTGAATTTTATCTCAATTTTAAAATGCATTTATTGAGTACCTATGATTAGCACAACAAACTAATGCACTGATTCATAATGACCCTCCTGACTGCCCAGCCTCATTATTCTTACAAATGTATTTCAGCTGGATGTGGTGGCACACACCTATAGTCTCAGCACTCTGGGAAACTGAGGCAGGAAGATTACAAATTCCAGCCCTAGCTGGGAATGGTGGTGCACACCTGTAATCCTAGCACTTGGGAGGCTGAGGCAGGAGAATGCCACAAGTTCAAGGCCAGCCTGGGCTACATAGCAAGACCCTGTCTCAAAAAAAAACAAACAAAGCCAGGCATGGTGGCAAATGCCTATAATCTCAGCACTCGGGAGGCTGAGGCAGGAGCATCTTTGCAAGTCTGAGACCAGCCAAGACTACAAAGTAAGCTCAAGGCCAGCCTGAACTGCATAGTGAGACCCTGTCTCAAGAAGACAAAAAAAAAAAAAGGTTCCAGCTCAACCTGGGCAGCTCAGTAATTTAGCAAGACCCTGTCTTAAAGTAAAATGAAATAAAATAGGCTAGAGAGGTAATGGTAGAACACTCGCCTTATATTCCTTGGTACTTAAAAATAATGATAATCAGGGGTATTTTAGAAAAGCTTTACATAGCAGATTTTTATAGCATCAAATCCCACATAGTTAAGAAATCCTATGATGAAATCTTTTGTAAAATTAAGAAACCTGTAAAGTTACTTTCCACACCCTAACTCATCTATCCAGGGAGTCACAATTCTTTTACATAGGATTTAATTAGAGGGAAACAGCTTGAGCCCCATTGCAAAGCACCGAGAGTCACCATAAGAAAGTGTTAGGCGGAGTCTTCCCCATAACTGCCCAGCCTTACGGTTTTATCTCCATCACTCTGTGGGCTCTTTCAGCCCACCGCTTCTTCCGGAAATGCTGGACGACGACCACCACAATCACAATGATGACCATCAAGGCACAGGCAGAGCCAATGGCCAGAGCCAAGAAGTAGATCTCAGAGAACTGTACTATGATTAGAAAAAAATCAAGGGGTCAAGCTGGGATTCTAAAAAGACAAGGAAATACGGTAAAACCTAAAGCCATCATAGGCATACATTTGTTATTAAATGGAATCTCCATGTCTCTTACTTCTGTGTGTAAAATACCATTGTACCTCGTGAACCCCAGTAGCAGCAGGAAAGCCACAGAGGCTACATCAGTGATTCTAACAGGAGGAGCAGCACAGTAATACTTGAGAACTTGGAAACGAACACCAAATTAGAAACACTAGGGCATTATCCGGGCAATCTGTGTTTCAACCCGTCCTGCAGGCGATCATGATGCCCACTGAAGTTTTGAGAACCACTGAGTCATGCGACCTGCCCAGTGTGGTGACATTACACTAACCGGATCAAACCCAGGGCCCAGCCCACTTCTCCTGACTGCATCTCACCTCTCTTGCTCATTTACTTGTTTATTCAAATTCCCAGGCACTGTGGACGCAAGGAAAAACCAAAAAAGTCACCACTGTAAAGGAGCTCTTGCCCCCAGGGAAGATAGGCAAGAAAATGAGTAACTAATCTAGTGGGTAAATGGCAAAGGAGGAAACCCACAGGTAAGCCCCTAAACCAGACTAGCGCCTATGAAACCTAGTCCTCCTGTCCTTTAACTTGATTTCTCACTCAAACTTCAGTGAGTCCTCGAGCCAGCAAGGACCCTGGAGAAGGTCTAGCCCAGTAGTTTCCGGCCTGGAGGCCCTCAAGAATGATGGAGAAGAGAGAGAGGTTTGACACACAAGCCCGCAAGATTCACATCTTGTTGCATGCATCTCCATTTCTTATGTGTGTGCGTGGGGCGGGGCATGGGGAACAGAGCTATGGTTTTAATTATACTCTCAAAGAGTAGTGATTTTGATATGTTTAAAACCCATGATGAGGCCGGGCGTGGTGGCACATGCCTGTAATCCCAGCACTCAGGAGGCTGAGGCAGGAGGATCGTTGCAAGTTCAAGACCAGCCTGGGCTACAAAGTGAGCTCAAGGCCAGCCTAAACTGCATAGCGAGACCCTGTCTCAAAAAGACAAAAAGCAAAACAAACAAACAAACAAAAAAAAAAAACCATGATTTCTTATCTAACTGAAGAAACTGAGATCTGAAGGCATTACATTACTTCTTTCAGTGCTCAGATGACTTCTCCAGGTCACCCAGCTGTCAGATGGTAGGGCCTTGAGGGATCATTTTAAACTATACTGTGAACGAAAGGAGGAAGTCATACCGCTTTATATACTGGTTATCATTTGGGATAGAAATACGGTGTTGGTTAGCAGCTCGCATCAGAGAAAGCCAAGTTAAAATGCTGTGTGTTGTATTTACTGATTTGGGATAATTAACATTTCTGAGCCCCAGTGTCCTCCAGGGATAGCGATGACAATATCCATTTCCTGAGTTCGTATAAAAAACAATTTATATAAACTGTTCCCTACAGAGCCCACCCCTAACAAGCATCAATATATGGCTGTTAAAATTTTCAGCATAGTTCAGAGTTGGGGAAATTTTGATTTATCTCAGTCTGTCCTCACACATTTAAGCATAGTTGGTAAGTGGTAACCATGACTTAAACCCAGGTATACAACTTGTAAGTGTTGTGGTCTTTGTCCTTTGAACCATTTTCTAGATTGCCCTTTACAGAGGGGCAGGCAGTAAAACATACTAGTGTGGAGCACAATTTTAGAGTCAAAGGTGATTGTGTTTGAGTCCAAAGTTACTCCACTTAGCAACTGCATGACTGTGAGCAAGTGACTTAACCTCTGTGAGCACAATAAACTGATGAGGTCCTTAAAGAATAGATAAAAGTGTGTCGTGTGAAGTCCCTGACATGTGGGAAGCACTCAGTCAATGTTAGCTACCATGACTGCCATCTGCCTCCACTGGTGGTGTGAGGACTGGAAGAAACAGACATGACAAGCATTTGGACAGTGCCTGGACAGAGCAGGTACTCAGTAAGTATCTTGAATAAATAAGAGAATGAATGGACCTATTGTTAGCCTTTTATCGGGGTTGCTTCCTCTCCCTTTCACCACCTCAAAGCCATTTTTGTAACAGATTCCCTGGGTCCCTTTGCTTTACTTTCTGTTTCTTTCCACAACCAGACAAAGCCTTTCTTTTTTTACCCGAGGACTCTTCAGTGTCTGAAGCTCTCAGCGCTAAAGCACTAGGCCCTTTCCTTACCCTCTGAATCTTCCCAAGAGATTGCCCCTCCCTTTTCTACCAGCTCTCACACTTCGCAAACCCATTCTTCCCCACAGAACCTACCAGTCTGCACAACGCTGAGCCGGATCGCCCCTATCAGCCCATCCACATCCGGGGGGTTTTTCACCTGACAGGTGTACGTCCCATTGTCATCGAACTGGAGCTTCCAGAGGATAATGGAGACATCATACCGGTCCAGGTTCCCGTCCCAGACCACCCGGTCTTTGAACCGCCCACTCATGGGCTTGAAGGGATCCATATGGTAGTAGAACACCTACAGGAGAAACAGGAAAGGCTTTCTCACTGGGTGCCTGGGCGAGGAGGCGGGGAGGGGGGAGCAGGAGAGAAACAACAGCAAACCTAACTGCTGCTCTGTCTCTCCTGTGTCCTTCACTAGCCTCTCAGTTCATTGGTCTCTGTCCCAGAAATGATTTCCCAACTTAATCCTGTGCTTGTTGAAAATACAGGAAGGCCAAGGAGAAATGGACGGGCTCGATATGTTCCTAGCCACGGCTCCCCTAGAAAATGACAGTAATCTACTTACGAACTGTTCAGGGCCCCCATCCCGAGGCCGGAAATTCCAAGTCACTGTTAGTGCATCGCCCACGGGGGCAAAGCTGGAAAAAGTGCATTTTAGCCGCACGTCGGTCCCATTAACAGCCTCCAGCGCCCCAGAGGTGTAAATTTCCACAGCTGCTATGGGCCAGAGAGCTGCAAAGCAGGGAGGGAAGCAGAACAGTTAGCAGACGTGTAGTATGGACAGAACTGCTGGCATTTTCAAAATAATGTGTGTGTAGGATATAAGGCAGGGCCGAGATGCACAGCTCTCAAACTTCTTTCACCCACAGCTGGCATACTCCTCCCTTATACACTTCGTGACCCTCCTGTGTCATGTGGTGACTGATAAGACCATACAGCGAACTTTCCTAGTGCTCTTACTTTCTCTACAGCCTTATGGTACCGACTTCGAAAATAATAGTAACTGCACTTGGGCACGGTGGCCCAAGCCTGTAATCCAGCACTCAGGAGGCTGAGGCAGGAAGACTGCCATGAGTTCAAGGCCAGCCTGGGCTACACAGTGAGTTCAAGGCCAGCCTGAGCTACACAGCAAGACCCTGTCTCAAAAAACAAATGTAATAACAAACTCCAAATATTGTCAAATTAAACTGAGCAAAAACACAGAATTAAAGCAAATCATAACACCAATTAGACATTGCATGTTAAAATGAAGCATTACATATTTTATGTAGAATGTTCTCCTAGCAGGTTGGTTTTCCAGAAAGGATCCTTGTTATGTATATTTCGCACTGTTACTAGTCTTCTGCAGAAATTGGGTTAATCAATTCCAGGCAACTTGGGCTTGCCTGCACGCCTGGGACCTCTATACCACGTGGCATATTTTACCATATTTACATTAGGCATGTGTGTGTTGGGGCACTTTCAAAACCACGGTGGATCTCTCACTCTAATAACCTCAGCTTTCCCGGTGCTGGGGAGCGTCCCAGGCAAGACCACACACAGAAACCCAAGTGCCAAGTCCTGCTAAGCAGCGGGCATTCAGAAGAGCCGCGCAAAAATGGTGTGTAACCTGAGATCAGAAAGCCCTCTCTGTGCTCGAATCACAGCCGAACACACCTAAACCTGTTTGTCCACAACAGTTCCCCCCCAAACAACCCAGTAACTGCAGTTTCAGTAAGGTCCAAACTGAAGTAAACTGCAGTTGGGGCTCAGGATCCCACACGAGGCGCTAGCGACCTGGCCGGTCGGCTCTGGCTGCGCGGGCGTCGGAGGAGCCCACCCTCCCTTACCTGCGAGCTGGAAGCCAAGGAGCAGCAGCGCCGCGCGCGGAGGGCTCTGGCCATACATGGGGAAGCACAGCCCCGGCCCCGGAGACCGGACCGGGCAGACGCAGGGCTCCAGCACCCCGCCAAGGCCAGTGCGGAGGCGCAGCGCCGCGTTCTCCCCGAGAGAGGAGCCTCGGTCCTCACCTATGGGAGCGCAGCGCCCGGGCGAGGCAGCCGTGACTCATGCGGCGGCTGAGCGGGGCGCAGGAATGGAAGGTGGGGCCAGCGCTGCTCCGGCCTCCCCTCCTCCCTCCCGCGCTCGCGCTGGAGCTCCGCCGCCAGAGGTCCCGGACGCCCCAGTCCTCGCTTTGCTTTTCAGTTTGGATGACAGAGCCCTGGCCTCTGTGTGCCCTCGGAAACAGCCCGAGGAGGTGGTGCCAGGCTGCACAGTCGCAGGCTGCTTTGGCTTTGGCCCCTACACACCCTTTTAAAACAGGCTTCGGGCTGGCCTGGGAGGCGAACGCCGAAACCACCTTGCCGTGCCAAAACACCGCCCCGGGCCACTCCAGCCGGATTCCTGCAGCCCTCCACACCGAGGTCCGAATTCCTTGGGACCTGCGAGTCGGTCGTCCTGCTGATACCCTCAATTTCGGCCAAATGTTGCTGCGAGGCTTTTCTGCACTTTTTCTACCTTGTCACTTTCCCTCAGACCTAAAATGAAACAAACTCCCAAACCAAATCCCAGCGTTTGATGAGCCTTTCCCTTTGAAGGATTTTAGAAGAATCAGAGCAGCACCCCTGCTCGCCTACCACCCTCTCAGTGCAGTTCGCACAGTGCTTTCCTGCCCCCGCTTTCAGGTCCACAGCCCCCGTGTAGCCTCCTTTTTTACCCTCGAGACTCGGGAGAGCCCAGCCGAGGTAAAGGATTTGCCCAACTTTGCACAGCCAAGAGGCCAAACGAACTTTTCCGACTCTCCGGAGTTGTGCTCTTCGGACAAATTAGCAGTCGGTGTGACTCATCGAGAGGACCCTCACAAGAAAGGTTTTTATGCCTCTTTTGTGCCTCAGATTTCATCTGCCAATTCTAGGTCAGCCCTCTGTCAGGGAAATCTGAAGAGCTGAGAAATGTAAGTAAGAGAAAAGGGCTTCCCTGTCTGGAAAGAGGAGCGGGTCAATGAAGGAGCGGTGAGAGGTGGTGGGAGGGGAGGACTTAGGCAGGATCAGATAGAAGCCCACACAGAAAGTCACTGCCCTGATCCCCAGATTAGCAGTCCAGGAACTCTTAGTGATTCATAGTCTCCGAGCTGAACTCTGGAATAGAGCAGAGAGGCAGCAAGGAGTAGGCTGAGTAGGAAAAAACATTAGACTGGGTGTGTGGCTCAGTAGGAGAGTGCTTGCCTCACATGCTCAAGGCCCTGGGTTCCACCCAACACCGCAAGACAGAGGAAGGAAGAAAGAAAAGGAAAACATCATAAAAAGAGAAGAAGCTGAGTGTTGTGTTACGTGTCTGTAATCTCAGACATGGAGAGGCTGAGGCAGGAGGATCATAATTCAAGCCTGGCCCAGACAATTTAGCAAGACCTTGTCCCAAAATAAAAAAAAAAAAAATGGTCTGGGCATGTAGCTCATTGTGAAGCCCCTGGCTTCAGTCCCCAGTATGGCAAAAACAAAACAAAAAAGGAAAAATTCCACCAAAAGAGAGGCAAATTATTGAAGTTGTTTTTAAAAAAAAGAAGAAGAAAAGCCCAGCAGAAAGATGATGTGAGCCTGGAGCCAAAGCAGACACAACAAAAATGTATTCTGTCAGAACCGAGAAGCTCAGTGGCTGCCCCAGATGGAGAGCTGCTGTGTGCTAGCAGGAACATGTTAATGTGGAGGTATTTCTGAAAAAGGAAAAAAAAAAAAAAAAAAAAAATGTGTCTAGCTCCTTTGTGAGCTTCTGGGTCATTCCAAGCAACTTAAACTCAGAATGCTGGGAGGCTGGGAACCTTGAACATAGCGATCAGTAAGATACAGCCCTTCGGGTACGTGAGTCAGAAGAGGTCAGCTCCAAGAGCCTGAAAGAAAAGGGTTAAAGGGAACTCGATCTTTTTGATTGGCTTTCAACTTTGCAAGGAAATGCAACCCTAGAGGAAGGGGAGTGGAGCCTAGGGTTTTGAAGTCTACAGCAAATTGCAAAATTTGGTGAGAGGTAGAGTTACCAAAGAGCTCAGGGACACAGGAACCCACAGCAGGAGAGGAGCTAGGGCAGGAGGAGCTGAACACAGTGCCTGTTGTGGGGGCAGAAGAGTCCCAGTAGCCCGCCTCCCTGGGAGCTGGCCGCCAGCCCTGCTGGGAGAGGCAGAGCTGCCCATATCCCATTCCTCGGAGAGGTCAAGTTCCTGGCTCTGCGCTCAGCAACGCCCAGTTCCTTCGAGTTAGCAGGAGAGGCTGCAAGTCACCTGTTCTCTCTTGGCGAGGGAGGCCAAGGGCTGGACTGGTTAAGAGAAAATGCTAAATAAAAAGGACAATTGTTCCTCAGAGTTCCCTAGATGCCAGGAAGCAGGACTTTGATCAAAACCGGGAGGCAGCAACCGGGGAGGCAATGAAGTGGTAGAGTATTAGCCTAGCGTGCCCAGAGCCCTGGGTTCAATCCCCAGCACTATAAAAAACAAAACAAAGAGGCTGGGGATTTAGCTCAGGGGCACAGCACCTGCCTGGCAAACATGAGGTGGTGAGTTCAATTCCCGGTACCGGGAAAAAAAAAAAAAAAAAGAAGTGACCAAAAACAAAACAAAACAAACCTGGAGGTATTTACATACAGCCTAAGTAGTAGTTGGTGTCTAGGCAAGTGAGAGAAGCAGGGCTGGGGATATAGCTCAGCGGCACAGGGCCTGCCTGGTAAGCACAAAGTCCTGAGTTCGATTCCCAGTACGCCCCCCCCGCAAAAAAATGAGAGAAGCAGCAGGCAGGTGAGAGGCTGGACACACATGGGCAGGGCCCTCACTGGCCATCTGAGGAGTAAAGACTTGGTCCTGACAAATATCCCAATTGTGTGCCCCTTCCCGCATGCCTTCCCTGCACACTGCTGCTTCGCCTGTACCCTCTGTAGTATCCTTTATAATACGCTGGTAAACGTGGGAGCACGTGCACGCGCACAAATGTGTGTGGCCCAAGAAGGATCTCCTCAGAGTGGAATTACTTTGATATATCCCAGAACCATTCAAAAGAAAAATGAAGGAGGAGGAGGAGGAAGAAGGGAGCCTTGAGACATCAAAACCACCACTCTCTGGCTTCTCAGGAGCCCCTGGCCAAGGAGCCAGAATGAAAAATGCAGATGTAGTACCAACGTCAGAAGACTCAGAGACTCCCAGCCTTCCCTAACGACTCCAACCGGAAGCATCCTTTCTCTAAACTTTCTCTGCTTCAGAAAGCTTGTTAAAGATGAGCGAGGAAGTCAGGAAGGCAGAGTCCTGGCTGAGAGCTGGGCTATAGCCCTGAAAGAATTGATGCATTCCCTTTGGTGCTTCTTGTGCCTAGATACATTCTAGGCTCTGAGACTGGGCTCCAGGGCTTCAGAGAAGCCGTGGGAGGAACATTCTCCTACCTCCTCACCTCGGGGGCTCACACCCGCCTTTCTGTGAGAGCTTCTGCCCAGGCTCCTCTTTTAATTATAGAGAAGAGGAAGCCGGCCCTTGTTAAGTACCCCAAGGAAGAGACTGAGATTTAACCCTTTACTTACTCTCCAAGCAAGCTACGCAAGCTGTACGGGCTGGACAGAGGGGGCATCTTTAAAGATCAGTTTGAAGAAGCCCCCAGAGGATAAAGGGATCTTTAAAAAGAAAAAGAAGAAAAAAAGCAAAATTCCTTAACCAAATAATGAGAAAAACTAATTATTACACTGTGTATCATTATCATCAAAGTAGTTATGTAGAGTACAAGACAAACCAAAAAGATTCTTACAAAAAAGAAACAAACAGATAATAACACGAAACTTTCTTTTCAACAAACAAAGACTGGGCTGGGCGTGGTGGCGCATGCCTGTCTTCCCAGTGTTGTAGGCAACTGAGTTAGATAAAAGTACCACAGGCAGTCAGGGCCAGGCCCTCAAAGGAGCCGGTGCGGAGACCAGATACCTTGCAACTGTGGGAGAGACAGACACCTCCACCTGTGGGCCAAACCTCAGGACAAAAGATAAAACAAACCCGGCTGAGGCAGGAGGATCTTTGCAAGTTCGAGGCCAGCCTGGGGTACAAAGTGAGCTCAAGGCCAGCTGGAACTGCGTAGCAAGTCCCTGTCTCAAAAAGACAAAAAATAAATAAATAAGCAAATGTACCCACATACCTCCCTAAGGGTAAACATCAGGGATTGATATTCTAAATAGTTCTCTTGGGGATATAGCTCAGTGGCACAAGCGCCTGCCTGGCAAGTGCAAGGTCCTAAATTCAATTCCCGGTATCAAAAAAAAAAAAAAAAAGAAAGAAAGAAAAAAGAACAGCAACTGACGCGGCTGGAGAGAAAATGTAAATAGTTCTCTATCACCCTGAGAAAGCCAGGAAGAGTCACTGACGCAAACTCCCTACAGGAAAAGCTCTTGTTCTGTATTCTTGCCGGTTTGCTATGTGACTCGCTTCCCCATTTGATCCCAATTTAATCAATTTTACCTGAGCAATTATGCTTGTAATCTTATCGGTTGACCATAGTTTTGTCCCTCCTCATGCCCACCTTGCGAGTTCCCGTGTTCCCCACATTGGACCCCACTCACCTCATGGTTTTAGCATATTAAAATCCCTAAAAGAGGCAGGTTTCTTGGCAACCCACTTGGGTCCCCTTCTGTCTCTCTGTTGGACAGAAGCTTTCTTTCCCTCAATAAATATATTTTGTTCTTAACCTCCATTGTTCCTAAAATTCATTCTTTGATTTTAGAGAACACAAACTCATCCCAGATATCTTTCAGGTTAGGAATCTTTTTCCCCTATATCACCAGCACTCAGGAGGCTGAGGCAGGAGGATCAGTGGCGATAAGTTTGAGGCCAGCCCTGGGGACTACATAGTGAGTTCAAAAGCCAGCTTGAACTTCAGAGTGAGGCCCTATCTCAAAAATAAATAAACTGGGCTGGGGATATAGCTCAGTGGCATAAGTGCCTGCCTAGCAAGCACAAGATCATGAGTTCAATCCCTGGAACCACAAAAATAAATAAATAAATAAATAAATAATTAAATAATTAAATAAACTAAGAGGGATCTTCATAAATGCAGTTGTGT